GATCAATGGCAGCCCCAACAGCTACAAGACGCTCAAGCAGATGATCCAAGTATAAAAAGAGTATTGGATTGGATGAGTCGAAGTGAAAGACCTTCTTGGCAAGACATTAGTGCATGTAGTCCAGAAGTCAAGGGTTAGTGGAGCCAATGGAATTGCCTAGTGCTAAAAGATGATCTTCTGTATAGAACCTTTGAGAACGATGATGGTACAGGAACTAAGCTTTACCTGATTGTACCTAAAAGTAAAGTGTCAGAAGTATTGCGGCAGTTGTATAACGGTGCATCAGGTGGACACTTTGGTATTACGAAGACTCTGCAAAGGGTTCGAAAACGGTTCTATTGGATGAATTGTAAAGATGATCTAAGAAGTTGGTGCCGTAAATGTGAAGTGTGTGCAGCCAGTAATGCTCCAGTTAATAAAAAGAGGGTACCTATGACACAGTATAATGTTGGTAGTCCTATGGAAAGAGTAGAAATCGACATTGCAGGTCCACTTCCAGAGACGAATGATGAAAATAAATATACCCTGGTAGCCATGGATTATTTTACGAAATTGACTAAGGCCTACGTAATACCAAATCAAAAAGCTGCTACCGTTGCAGAGGTAATTGTTAAAGAATTCTTTAGCTGATTTGGTGTTCCCTTGGAGATCCACTCCGACCAAGGACGAAACTTCGAGTCAACCCTTTTCCAAAACGTTTGTAGATTGATTGGTGCCAATAAGACCAGAACGACACCCCTGCATCCTCAATCAGATGGAATGGTCGAGAGGATGAACCGAACGATGGGTAAAACCTGTCCAAAGTTCTATTAGAACGGTACAATACTTTACCAGTAAAACAAGAAAAGGTAGGTGATGTTAGAAACTTGATAGAAAAACATTATGATATGAAACAATTGGAAGAGTATTGAAAAATTAAGCTAGTTTAAATGAACACGTTTTAGATCGAGAAAACTTTGAAAAACATCCACGCAGATGAAGTTTATAAATAATTAGTTTACTTTCAATAACAATACTAGTAAATATAATAGTCACAAAAACGAATAGAAATATGGACCAGTTTTTTTTAAGCTTTTGTATGAATTTTGTTCAGATGTTCGAAGTAATTTATCATGCAGCCTATTTCTTATAATTTCTGGAAACTTTTTTGTTTTTGTCTTGGTTTTATGTAATTTTAAAAGGCTAAAAATCTCCCTACTTTTTTAAAGCTAATACCTAATGTTTTCTTTATGCAATTTTATATTTTATAGGCGTTTTTCTGTGGAACGTATCAACCAATATATCCACTACAGAGATAGGCCAGCCTCTCTTCTATGCAAAAAAATTGTTAAAAAAGCTAAAAAACTAATCAAAAGCCTCGGATTAAATAGACAGGAAACTGTAAAAGAGTCTAAGCTGTAGAAAAAGGATTGCGAATTGTAGAACATGGAATGTAAAAGATTAATCAAAGAAAATAAATGAAAAAAATGTTGTTTCGACAAGAGAAGAAAAAACGCAGAAAAAACGCAACTAATTTCAGTCACGTTAAAAATCTCTGACGAACACGTTTTCGTGCCACAGTGTATAAACAAGTAACTGCCACTAGAAAACTATTTACTTAAATGTATATTTGAAAATTATCGGCGCTAAGGTGAATGAACAAAAACGTTCTTTATAACAGAACGACAATTAAATAGAACCATTCGAAATAAGAAGCCAATTTAGTCACAGTTTAGGTAAAAACACCTCACAGTTCACGTCAGTTTACGAGACTTTAAAGGAATTAGTGTTTACATTAAAAACAAATTAGCAGACAGGAATAACAATATATCCATTAAATAATGACTGGTATCATAATTGCCTGTAATAGTGTGAACGATAAACAACAAATAATTAAAGTACAAATTGTTTCAAAAAGCGACAATTTAGGAACGAAATTTATGTAAATTGGATTTGGAGACAAAAATATGGTGATATTTTTAGATTTTATACATTTTTGCCGCTTTATTTACATTACTTACAATTGTTTTTCAACTAAACTGTAGATTATTAGTAAATTAAAGTTTATTGTAAATTTGAAATACTACGATATATTTATACAGAGTGTCTCAAAAAGGTATGTCATAAAGTAAATCACGCATTCCGGGGACAATAATAAATTGATTGAATCTTACCTTAGTACAAACGTGTACACAAAAACAGTTACAGCCCTTTGAAGTTACAAAATTATTATCATTTATGAGAGACACCTTGTTTTTTGCGAAATGAGTAATACCTAGAAAGATCTATAGTTATAATAAATATTTATCAACTTATTTATAAAACGGAAGTTCTTTTGTATGGTAAAATAAAAAACAGATCATCCTAGGTCATCGTACAAAGAACAAGTTCAACGCAAGGGTAAGAAAGTCAACAATGGACGGAAAATTGTCGCGTCGTCTCGAGGAAATATCGTTATTACTATGTTAGTTGTGAAAAACAAGAGATTAACACGTCTAAGGTCGTTTCTTGAAAGCGAAACATACAAATCTGCTCATTAAACTTGAAGTACGCGTGTAAGAATCGTCATACAAGTGGTAAACTATAAATAGATATTCAACTGTCGTCTCGATTGCGGTTGCAAGATGTTTACGGTATTATTCATTTCTCAAATATTGGATTTATATGCATTTTTACTAGAATTAACTGTAAGTGTACAGGAATGTAAATATTTAATTAAACACATCCGGATGCTGGAACTTAGCTTTAGAAAAGTATAAGATGAAGATATATTCTGTTTTATTTTCTCTGTATTTATAGCTTTATAATAGGAGCGACCTTTGTGTTATAAACTAATAATTAAGATATAGCGCTCACTATACAGTACACACATACTAGGTCGATAAACACATACTAGGTGAAAAACAAAAGACATATTTTTAAGCCAAGAAGTTCCATATTAGAGACAGTAATATCAAGAGATGTAACAGAGAAATTACCAATAATTTCTGAAGACAAGTAGATACAAGTTCCTCCTCCACGTCGATTACGACGATCACACCTATAAAGGGAATAATAATCAGATAAACTTAACCATGTTTCTTCTTCTTATGGTGATTATCCGTTACGGATGTTGGACACTAACATGGCTATTCTGACTTTGTTGACGGCTGCCCTGAAAAGTCCGGTAGTGGTTAAATTAAACCATTTTCGCAGGTTATGCAGCCAGGATATTCTTCTCCGTACTGGACCTCTTTTCCCATGCACTTTACCTTGAAGTATGGTCCGAAGTAGGTCATATCGTTGTTCATTGCGCATTGTATGTAACTCTGTCTATCCAGGAAATCCTCAACATGCGTCTATAGCACCACATCTCAAATGCTTCGAGTCTCTTCAGTGATGCTTCAGTTAAGGTCCAAGACTCCACGCCATATAAAAGAACTAAAAAAACCTAGCATTTTAATAAACTAACTTTTATTTCCAATGTTTCAGTGATAAGAATTATTTAAGGATTTAGGTTTTGAATGTTGCATAAAATTCATTAAATTTTTAATTTAAAGTAGCTAGATTAGTATAGAATCAGAGCCAATTATGAAAACCTGAAATATCAGAATTAGTGATGAAAGTCACATTTGGTCATGGTAAATAAAAAAAAGTTAATCCATTAGACAATAATTTTAAAATAATCACTGATTTAAGATGGTATAATAAGGAATAATCTGACTGATATAGAAGATGGATATGATATCGTAGAAGAACATGAACATCGACCTTTAAGTGAAAGTGATGATATGAACAATCTTTTTCAAATGATGAAAATATTAATGAAGAATTAGACCAAGAGTGAGAATAAAATTGGAAAAAAGTATTATTATGGGAAAGATGGACAAAAGCGGATGGTAAATGAACCTGTAAAGAATGTGTGAACTCCACAACATAATATAATCATAACTCTACCAGGATCAAAAAGTCCTGCTCGTACTCTAAGAGATGAAGCCACTTCAGAAGATATATAAAACCTTCTCATTTTAAAGCTATGATAAATACTATAGTGCAGTATATAGATACAGATATAAAGATTGGAGAAATTCGAACAAGGTTTGCTGTAGAGACACGAACAGATTTGAAAGATGCGGATAGTAATGAAATACGAGCTTTGATGGGCCTACTAATATATACCGCGATCTATACATCTAAGTGAGAGCGCCCATCAAAGTGGCGTGGCACGTAGCAAGTGGCAAGTAGCACACGTCTAGCATGTTTCTTAAAATGTAACCAATGAAAACGAATGATTCAGCGCACACCAAAATGACAGTGACGTCATTCATTCTAATCATTCGTTTTCATTGGTTACATATTAAGAAACATGCTAGACGCGTGCTACTTGCTACGTGCTACTTGCCACGCCAGTTTGGTGGGCGCTCTCCCTAATGATGAAGACATTGACGCCATGTTTACTACAGATGGAACCAGAAGAGAGATTTTTGGGACTGTTATGAGCGAAAAATGATTTAGTGTTTTGATAAATTGCTTGAGGTTTAATGATGCCACATCTAGACAAGAAAGACTAAAAGAAACACCAACTTCGCATATTAATCACATGTTCGAAATGTTTTTTGAAAATAGAGAAAAATGAATGCATTGATGAGATGTTAATCGAGTTTAAAGGCCGGTGCAAGTTCCGGATATACATATCAAATAAGCCACGAAAATATGGTATAAAAATAATGTTAATAACTGATGCTAAGACTCAATTTACCTGTAATAGCTATATATATATATATACTGAAAAGGTTCGAATGAAATTGGTCTTCCAAATTCAGACAAAAAAATTGTGATAAAAATTGGTCTATCAAAACCTCTATTTTGGTAGTAAAATGAACATTACTGCAGATAATTGGTTTTATTCTCCTCAGCTAGTGAAAGAGTTACAGTCCAGAGGCCTTAGCTATGTCGGAACTATGAGAAAATCGAAATGGGAAACAGAAGAATTTTAGGCGAAGAAGAAGCAAATGTTACCTAGATAAATGATAACATTGAGTAAAATTAAACATTTATTAAAATAATATCTTATAATTCAATTTATTTATCACACAAATATCATAATTTTATAATTTCAAAGAAACCATTTTATTTCCGTTCAACTTTTCCACTATGTTCATAGTCTTCAATGGAGTACCATCGGCTAAATGTGTGTAGACCGTACGGGTGTATCTCTTCTCATCTGAAAGGAAAAAAGATAGTTAGTTATATTTATCCTATTTCCTAAGATTTTATAAACCACATTTAAATATGACGTCATAATATTATTTTTTTAGGTTAGGTTCTATTTGCGCTGTATTTCATTTTCATTTTTTTTACACGAATCGTTTATTTTTCATTAAAAACCAGTTGTTTTAAGAAAATTTTTTCGTGCACATCTATATACAGATCTGTCTTACCTTTATCTGATTGTTGATGGACAATAATTTGACCAAATGAGATTGTCATACCGCTAGAATTGCCATCGATTTTACTAAAAAAAAAATAAATATTAATCCATATCTTTAAATTTAAATAAAATAAGGTGTAGGTATCTGAGATATAACCAAAATTGTTTATAGGGCCCACTGCAGGCATAGTGGTCACTGGTTGTTACTGCACAGTACGGTGTTGATACACAGCAACGGGTCCGTCAACTCTTTCATTTGAACATCATCTTACATCATCACAGCTTACACCTTTAACACAACATGTGTTAAAGGTGTAAGCTGTTCTGATCATTTGTTTAAAAGTTATTAAAAATTTTCGTGTTTTTCAACATCCTGATATAAGGTAAGTGTATTTAATTAATTATTACAACCAAACTTTCATTCATAGTACAGGCAAATGATAGTAACGTCTTAAAAGAGGTGTATTTAGGCTACAAAACGATGTGTCTATGTAACAATCTTATGTCATCTGGGGGAGTTTTTATTCCTCCTTTTATCATTTTCCATAGACAGTGGATTAAAGTGGAACTTCAAGACGGCGCTCCACTTGGAACACCTTTAGTTCGTTATCCTTTAGGGTGGATGTAAACTGAGTTTTTCACACAATCACACAAAGTTTGCGAAGCCATCCGAAGACGACCCAGTTGTGCTCATACTTGATGGACATTCCCCTCCCCCCCCCCCCCCCACCCACTGAAGTCATAATCTGCAGTTACGATCGAAAGATTCTTGCGTAATAATCCTGGTAGATTAGTGACACAGTATCAGGTATTTCCATTTGCAGCGCTACTCCAACTATTGCGGTAAAGATGTTTGGAAAATGTTCCTATAAGCATCGTTTCAATTCCTTTGGCATAGTTCCTATAAACAGACAAAAGTTTACTGACGCGAATTTTGCTGCAGCCGTGACCACAGAAATTTCCGTGCAAGATTATATCTCTCGTCATGTAGTTGAAAATCAAGAACTGGGTATTGAATACCAAGAAGAAACTTCTGCTGTGGTACCGGGAAAAGATTTGGCAGATTCACAACAAAATATTTCTCGACGTCAAGAGACACCAAGACTTGCAAGTAAAGAGACCCGCCTTCTGAAGAGATAGATTTCCGACCAGCAATCTCTGCATCCAACGCTTCAGTTCCTATGTTTTTCAATGACCACAGACAATGTCACTGTAGGATCTAGAGATCCAAACTCTACATTCGTTCTAATCTCTAAAGACTAGCCAAAGCCAAGTACTTCAACATTCCAGCCCAGTCCACTGCCTTATTTTAGTACTTCATGTGATTTAATCAGCAACTTCAAGGGCAAGGCGCACTATATTTTTGCTGTACGCCCTTCTTCTTAGAGGGCTGTCTCCCTACGGAGATTGGCAATCATAATGGCTATTTTTATTTTAGAATTTGCTGCTCCAAACAAAGCAATCGATCTGCATTGATACCAATTACGTAGATTCTTTAACCATGAGTTCTGCCTTAGGCCAACAGATCTTCTTCCTTGAATCTTTCCCTGTATTATAAGTCTCAAAATTTCATATTTTGGTCCCCTCATCACGTGACCTAGGTATTCCAGTTTTCTGGTTTGTACGCCCTTCTTCTTAACGTGCCCTATCAAGTCCCCTTGACGTTGGCGATTAACATGGCGAAACTGTCTCTATCTCGAGCTATTCTAAAGAGTTGCTACGCCCGCATGATACTAATCCAATCCCTAAAGCAAATAGAGCTAGTAGCCGCAATACCAGAAAAAAAGAAAAGGAAAGGCTTAAGAAAATAAACGGTGAGCCACTTAATAACATAATATATGCTGACGACACCGTCCTTTTGGCAGGAACACTAGAAGAACTGCAACACCTTGCTGAACAACTAAATATATATTGCAACGATTATGGACTAAAAATCAATTTGAAGAAAACCAAGTTCATGGTATTTACAAAAGCACAAAACATCAAAGTTAAGCTAGTACTAGATAATACAGAAATTGAACAAATATCTTCGTACAAATACCTTGGAGCATGGATCACAGAAGATACTGATCAGACAAAAGAAATAAGATGCCGCATTGAAATTGCGCGGTCAACTTTTAATAGAATGAGAAAACTTTTTTGTAATCGCGATATCAACATATCGCTCCGGATAAGAATGCTTCGGTGTTATATTTTCTCTACCCTCTTGTATGGAGTTGAAGCTTGGACACTTAAAAAATTCAACATTAAAAACCTAGAGGCATTCGAAATGTGGTGTTACCGACGCATTTTGAAAATATCATGGATGGATCGCAAAACAAACGAACAAGTTCTCGAACAACTAGGAAAACAATGCGAAGTTTTAAATTCCATAAAGATCAGGAAATTGGAATACTTGGGGCACATCATGAGAGGTGAAAAGTACGAACTACTAAGGAATATAATGCAGGGTAAAATCAAAGGTAGAAGAAGCGTAGGAAGACGTAAAATCTCGTGGCTACGCAATCTCCGTGAGTGGTTTGGATGCAGTTCAATTGAACTATTCAAGCGAGTAACCAATAAAATTATAATTGCCAGAATGATTTCCAATCTCCGATAGGAGTGGAACTTGAAGAAGAAGAAGAAAATAAAGCTGGAACTGAAAAAAGGCAACCAGAGTAACAAGAGGTATAAAGGAAGTGAAGCGTGCTTTATTTATTGACTCAAACTCGAAGTGTCGGACGATTATAATCAGTAGCGCACCTAGAATCTTCCTCTGAAGGGGGTTTTGGTAGGCACCGAAATTTTTTTTATGATTTTTATGATTTTTTTTTATGTAACGATGTCCTCACCGTTCAACAGTTTGAACCGTGGGAGTGTCAAGGGAGTGAGACGTTCGCCGGGGAGTTCCTTCGTCGAGGGATCCAGACGAGACGTAGAATTCGTTTTATTTTGATTTTATGCGGAGGAGAATTTATTTTATTTTTATTTTTATTGTACATACATTAAATTAATAGACATATTTTTATTTTAACCTGTGTTTTACTGAGTATGTCGTCCCGAAAGAGCTACCCGTTACACTACCTCCATTTTAAGTCCTTAAAATTTGTGAGTAACAGTGTTGGAATAGGGTCCTGGGAGGAGTTTAACTCCAAACCCTCCGCCATGGGTGCGCCAGTGATTCTAATTATTGTAAAAAACAGCTTTTGTGTTTTCTAATAATCTAAACACAAATTCGTTGCAATAAAGAAGCTGTAGAGTAAATGTACGACGTTGAAATCATTATACTAATAACATTAAGGTACTCACCTAATATCAATTACGTTTGATTGATATGCCAGGTTTACATAGAAGTATCTCTGATTATTTTGGTATTCAAAACTGGTATAGTCGTCGACATAAAGATTACCGCTGGCTATATTGTCCTAAAATAATTTTGTAATTATTAATAATATATTAATAACATATAATTAAAAGCAATATTTTTATAAAAAACGTTAAAAGAAGATCTAATATTATAGTTTATTCGTCTTCCGGGTTTGGACCGTGTCATTTGTGAGTGACCCAAAAGTGGGTTCATCTCGACGTTTCGCTACAATTGTATGTAGCTTCTTCAGGAGAACAAAGAAAAAAGAAAAAGAAATCAAAAGACAGGAAGATGGGTAGTTAGCAACGGTAACTCAGTTACTCAACGCAACCAGAGGCGAATACTAACTACCAAGATGGGCATTTGGTCACAGTAACTCAACTACTTAACGCAGCCAGAGGTGAAAACCAAATGCCAGGACAGGGATTCACGTCCAACAGCTCAGAACACTAACGCGTCGAGAGGCGGGGAGTGAATCCGTCTCCGTCCGGCGGAAGACGAATAAACTATAATTCTCACTCTGGCCGTGGAAGCCTACGATTTCATAAGATCTAATATATCAATATAATGTAAAAAATTTTCGGTCTCATTCAGGGATTCCATCTTCTTAGTTTTTCTTGCTATTCTGACAATATATTACCCTCCTGATCTCTTTACTTCCTGTGTTTAAATTCATTTTTGCTTTTGTTCGGTATTTGTTAAAAATTTTTCATCTCTATCGGCTTACTTAGATAGTTCTTGAAGTTCTTTGTTCATAGTCTCTCTTTTCTTTTGCTGTCGATTTTCTTTTCCTTCCTTACGTAGTTATTTATATTCTTCCTCTGCTTGTCATGTTTTGTACCGCTATTGCATAATTAAATATGCTCTGTTTTTTCTCTCTTATTATAATATTCTTCGTCAAAACAGTCATTCGTTCTTGTCAAGTCCTTCTATATCGTATCGTTCATGTTAAGAACCTATTTCCTTTTACAAACGTTTAAAATTCTTCGATCCAGTAGTTATCAGAATCCGCATTTGCTCCTCTTCTAGTTCGAACGTTTGTATATTGGATTGGTGTCTTGAGTCTATAATAGAATGACCCAACATATTTACTGTAAATCCGTCTGGTGATTTCCAGATGCCTTTGTGTATTATATTTTCGAGTGAAGTTAAAATTATCCCATCGATTCAAAAAGAAAACTACTATGAAAAAGAAGTCACTTTTAAAATCAGAGCATCAAAAATACCATTCCTGTTCCATACTATGCAAGTTAAACGTTTACTTTGTATTCCAGTTCTTCCTTTGACGAAATTTTTAGTTTTTTATTGACGCTTATTGGGACCGTGCAAGTTTGGAAGAGCGACACCTGGTGTCGTAAATCAGCAAAATTTACTGCGCTTTCATTTTAGATCGAGGTTACCGGATAACTGTGAAGGACGTAGCCCCAAAAAAGAATAAGAAGAAAAAGTAAGATTGAGGTTATGTCGGTATGTTATTAAAAGGTAAACGTTGCATGCAGTGTAAATACAATTAAATACATTATTAAATTACAGCATTACTGTTAATATGGATGCAATAATAAAAACTGGATTTGAGAAAGTAAATCACCAAATAACTTTTAAGCCAAGCACTGAGTCAAAGGGAAAAGATTTAGTAGTGGCAAATTATGTTAAAAATGTGGAAGAATTAAGAAAAAATGGACAAAGCTATATAATACATAGGTAAACTTAAAGTTACATTAGCATAAAACTTGATTTTTGGGTTAAAGTGAACTCTAAGTGAGTGTTATGAAACTAAAATTTTCACTTAAAAGTGAACTTTTATTTATTATTTATTTCAAACTGACTTTAAAATTGGGCGCAAGAATAATGCATAATTTAGGTTATGTTACTTACTTATGCTTTTTTATGATATAAATTCACTTTTCTCTTTGTAGTAATTTGTGCTTCGAAGTTGGAAACGAATAAAACTTAAATTGACAATTTTTTGTTGTATTTTTACAATTTATAACACAGCATTTACTAAATCACATTTTCTTCAGTGACAGAAAGTTTAAATAAACAAAGGAATATGAAATATGACAATTTGACAATTGACAATATGAATTTATGAAATCTATAAAATGTGCAGTAAAAAATGCAAGATTTCTCCGCTACTCGCGCACGATCGTTTCTCGTATCACATCCAAGTACTTGCACGTCGCCAATAAAATAAAAGTATTTGGTTCGTTGTGCAGTTGCCATAATCTGCTGATTCAGCTGTTGATTCATGTGTTGTGTCATTTTTTTGTTGTGTAAAGACATTTCGATTATTATTATGCCAGGACATTGATTAATTCCGTTATTAAATAGACTTCTAGGTTATTTGACAGTCAAGAGAATAAAATTTTTCTCAGACATAAACTTCGAATCTCGATAATTGCGTTTCGTTCGGTTTACTGACGTAATAGCAATACGTATAATTAATTTCGGGAAGTAGGTATTGTATTTGTAAAAATATGATTCATGTCATGCATGACTCAATGTATAACCTCTTCGAAATAAAAACGTTTTGGCATGTTTTTAAAAGACACTATGTACATACAAACTAAACAAGCATGTACAGTTGCTAGCACTCTTTTTATTGACAAACTAAATAATGGAATATCGTTCTGAAATAAAAAGAATATACTAATTTGAGTATTTTACATCTTTAGTTACAAAGTTGAGTTCCGCACATTCACTTAGTCTACACATTATTATTGTGAATGAAAAATTATGTTATAAACTAGATCTAATGTATTATTTTTATTATTATAAGCAGAAATATAATATCCTATTGATACAATGTAAAGTGCCAGCAAGGAAACATTTTCTTCAGCGCCGCCAATGATCCAATTCAAAATTTCCGGGAATGCATGATAGACACGTGATTTCGGCTACTTTTGACCATTTACGACGCGTGATTTGTGATTTATAATTTGATTTAATATTTGCCAGACTATATTATATTACAATGTTGAGTAAAAAAGGTAAATCTTCTATAAAAGGATTTTTTTATGCAATTTAGAAATTACATGTTTGCTGTACAATACAGTGGACCATATGCTGTTGGGTGTCTAGCGATAATCCAAAATAATCGCAGCAAATTTGTGAAATATACTTTAGACACTTACCTTGTCGACGTTGACATACAAAACGAAAGGATCATTTTGCATTTCAGCCGTTGATGAACGTTCTTCGTCCCTCCTGGTAATAATGCTTCCCGCTTTATAGAAATATGGAGACTGAAACAAAAACCATGTGTAACGATATATATGCTTCATAGGATAACTTTTTTACCCAACACACTTAGAACTAGCATAATTCTATGGTCAATACACGGATGTTTTATTAATTGCCTATAGATTTCTAAAAGATGTTGCAGTTGAGTATTCTGAACCAATTTTAGTTGTAAGTTGATCGTCAAAGTGAGTACAGTGTTCTGCAATTCGATTAGATCCCACCTGGGTGACGAAGACACAATTTTAACTCGCAAGGTAACTAAGACAATTTTAATTCGTGGCGTTATTTGTTGTATATATAAACTTTTTTCTCTAGAATGAATTACGAAAAAGAACAAGCCAAACTATTGGCAGGAACCCCAAGATGATGAGTACGAAATTATGAACTCCGACGGTGAAAACGAAATTGATCACATAAGTAATCAGTCTGATGATGAACAAAAGAAAGACATTGAGAAACTAGAAGTATTGGAATCTGAAAATAAGCGAAAAGAAGATAAAAAATATCCTTATTATTTAGGTAGGGATTCCAAAACAAAATGGAGAAAACTACCCGTCGGCCGACGCCACTGAGTAAACGGCTGTACCCATCGGCTATCCATATTAGTAGCCCATATTAGTGTAAAAAAGTAAGTGATACGCCCATTTCAAATCGCAGTGTGCTTTGACTGCTAAAACAGCCTTAATAATTATTGCACTGATATGTATAATTGCCAATACTCATTTCAAATCATTCCCCTACTGGCTTATATAACGATAACGAATCTGTTAACCTGCTTCTTTGGTGACGAGAGACTTACGAGATACGTATCTTCCTACTTACTGTTGAAATAGTTACGGGTAAGATCGCTGAAGATTGTCCACTGTAGATTTTAAAAGAACCATCATCTACTCGGTACCACTGATTATCTTCCGAGCCTGGGAAGTTTACAGTCACCGATCTTGCTCCTTTCTCCATCACAGGCCTTGCCAATATATTGGAACCTACGCAACAAAAATGAAATAATTAAATTTAACTGATTCTTAGAAAAGCATTCTTTTATTTACCCAGTAATATATGATAGTCTTGGTCGACGAAGCCGGGATAATCGTAGAAAATGGGTCTCACCACTGGATCTCCTGTTCTGGTGTGCTCGTAAAACAGGGTGTACCACACCGGTATATGCTTGTACCTCAGTCGAAGGGCATTTCTTATAACATCCTGAACTTCGGCAGAGTATACGTAAGGTTCTCTTCTGTCTGTCGTATTTTCTGCATGACCTCTGTAGAAAGGCAGCCACACACCTGCCTATAAAGACAATAGTATTGGAATCTTCTTGAAATATTATCAACAATGTTTTTAACTAGATTTCACTAAATACTAGATTGTATATCAAAAATCTGGTTGATATATATTCACCTGATACCATCTTTGGACCAGCTCCGTCTCAGGATTGTTGAAAAATCCACCAATGTCAGCGCCGCAAAATACCAAGCCCATGATATTAGATAAGATGCATTCGGAATAGCTGACTTGCAGGAAAGGCCAGTCGGCTGTATTGTCTCCAGTCCACATTGCTGTATATCTTTGACTTCCAGCGAAGTGGGATCTGGTCAAGATAAATGGACGTTTAGTAAAGTTGTCCCTCTGCATCAGTCCTTGGTGAGTAGCCATGGTCTAGATAGACATGAAAATATGAATCACTTGACTGTTACACACTTGATACGCCTAAAAGCTTACCTGGAGAAAACCATAAATATTGTGAATATCTCTATGAGCAACATTTCCATGGTGCAAGACATCAAAAGGCAAGGTTTTTTCCAGTTCGTTGTCAAATACTGACGGTTCATTCATATCGTTCCATACACCAGCAAGCACGGGAGTTGATTTTTTAAATTTATCATAGCTGTACCAGCTGGCGTAGTAGTCTCGAGCTTCTGGGTTTAGGAAATCAAGGTAGCTGGACAAACCGGGCCAACAATCCCCTAAAAATAAGAATTAGAGAATAAAAAAAGGGCATCAGATTGTATTTAACACATACTCAGAACACATTCTCTTAGCCAAATTTGACGTAGCTCAAATCAAAAACTGAATAATGTGTTATAAGTTTTCTGTACCTTTAAAATCTTCTCCATTGGGCGATTTAACGAAGTACTTTCCTTTCGCTCCAGAATACACTGGATAATCCTCATCAACTTTAATGTGAGGGTCCAAAATAACCACTAGTTTTCTGTTAGTACTGGACAAATTCCTCTGCAATTCTTCTGGGTCAGAATAGGTCTCTGGATCCCACGTAAAGTATCTTTTGCCGTCGGTATAATCGATATCCAACCAAATGGCGTCCATCGGGAAATTGTTGGCGTCCATCTGGGCTACTACAGATTTAGTGTCTTCTTGGGTTTTGTAGGACCATCTGCATTGGTGGTAGCCCAGGGTCCACAGCTGAAACAAATGATAGCATAGCAAGCCATAGAAAAGTAAATAAGAGTTTTGTATCTTACTTGAGGCATATGGGCCACTCCTGTGAGTTTCGTAAACTGTCTGACGACGTTTTTGGGTTGATTTCCGAGCAAAACGAACAGATCTAAGGTACCGCTTTCTACCATAAAGTAACTCCAGCCTGATGTAGAATCTTCATCGTACCAAATGTCCACCCATTGTTCAGCAGCGTTGTGCAAAAAGATACCAGACGTTTGTTTCTCACTAAAACAATACAAGACCAACAATCATATTACGAAAGGATAAAATATTGATAAAGTATTGAGGCTCAAAGTGCAAAACTAAACAAACGTGACTTACGAATGTCCATAAATAACAGGAACAGTTCCATACACTGCCATTGGCGAACCAACTTCATAATGATCGTTATCGGAATTTCTATTCCTATAGGGGTCCATCAGTACCTTTCCGTCTGTATCTCTCGTTGATGGAAGTTCCAGCTTGATTGGATGGTGATGTAAACCATAGAGTCTCTTCGCATCGATAAATTCCGTTGCAAATGCGAAGGAATTGTCTTCCTAAAGTAAAAATTATTGTAGTATGACGACGTGTGGTATTTCAACACTTAAAAAATAATAAACGTGATCGATTTAATGATGAAATGGAGTTAGAGCTTGCTAAATACTGCAAAACTACTGTAGATTTGTATTTCGCACTTACTACACAAGATTTACGTAAGTTAGCTTTTCAATTTGCAAACTGTAACAAACTGTCCTACCCGGAAAAATGGAATACGACTGAACATGCAAGTGAAGACTGGCTTATTGCTTTTATGCGACGAAATCCAAATTTAAGTATTCGTACACCTTAAGCTACTAGCCTTTCACGAGCCATGAATTTTAATAGAGAAAATGTAAACAACTTTTTTAATAAATTGTCAACTGTTTTAGACTGTTTCGACTGTTCAGAAGCCATCCAAGGTTATAGCTAGAAAAGGAACTAAGCAAGTAGGATCCATATCATCCAGGAACGTGGAACTCCAGTAACACTATGTGTAGCCATTAATGCAGTGGGAAATACCGTACCCCCAATGTTCGCCTTCCCACGATTACGTTTTCAAGACCACTTTATTAGAGATGGACCAGTTGGGTGGATAGGAACTGGAAATAAGTCTGGATGGATGCAAGATAATGAATTTCTTGTTTTTATGAAACATTTTGTGAAACACGTAAAGCCAAGTGAAGGCAATTAAAGTGATTGTATTGCTAGACAACCAGTCGTCTTATATTTCGATATCTCTGATAGAATTTTGCAAAGCTAATTTCATTACTCTACTTTCGTTTCCGCCGCACACTTCACATAGGCTTTAACATTTAGATCGTGGGGTATATGGTCCGGTTAAGAAATATTTTAAAAATTCTGGTGATCAGTGAATGAAAAATAATCGAGGAAAAAGAATGACTATATACGATTTGCCTTCAATTGTAAGAACATCACTTCCTTTGGCCACTACGCCTGTCAGTATTCTTGCTGGTTTCTCCTGAACTTGGATTTGGCCTTCCAATCGAGAGATTTTCAACTATAGTGATTTTAATGCATCAACTGTAACTGATAGACCTCTATATGAAGAAAACATATAAAATAATCAACTAGAATCGCCTACAGTTCAACGCAACAGTCACTTGGAAAGCCAACTGAGTCCATCCACTACCTTGTTACCAAAAATACACACTACTCCATCACCCAAGCCTAATAATCCAGCAGTATTTATTTCGCCTGTAGATATTAAGCCATTACCGAAAACAGACCTAACCAAACCCAAAAAAGGAGGAAGAATGAGACGAGAGACAGCTATTCCGACTGATACACCAGAGAAGATGTTGATTGAAGAAAAAAATTCGAAGAAAAGATACACAGTCAAGCGTAAAGTTCAGCTTGAACATAATCCAAAAAAAAAATCTTTGCCAGATTTGCCATTGAAGAAAAATATCAAAAAGAGACGAGCACCCCTGAAAGCAACAGAAAAAGATTCTTCTGAGTCTTCCCATGAGGAAGTTTTGTGCTTAGTATGCGATGGTTTATATTCATCAAGCTCCGAAAATTGGTTACAATGTCGAGAATGTAAGCACTGAGCAGATTTAAACTGTACAATCAAAAGCCCATTCTACATTTGCTTTAATTGTGAATATGACAGTGATTAGTTTTTTCTCGGTAAAACTATATTAACAGAATTTGTTATTGTTTTTATTTCTAATGTTTACACATATCTATTATTTTCGTCCTATTTAATTTATTTTTACTCTATACTATAAGTTAATATCTACATATTACAATCAACATTAGCTCTATTACTATTGACACCAATAAGGTGTCAATTTTAACGCATGGATTAACCTGACACAAATGGTCAAAATTTCATTTCTGTAATACTAAAGCAGCTTTTTAGCCATAGATACTGTGTAAAAGAGTCCCTAGTATAGGTTAGAATAAATTAAAAATTTAACAAAGTTCAACTTGGTCAAAAAAATCAATTTGTGACATTTGTTACAACCCACACCTATTATACGAATCTTCTGACCACCATAATGAATAAAACTACGATCACAGTCATAAATTACCGCTAGAAAATTAGAAAAAGTTTATTTAGAAAGCATAAATGATAAAGATTTGTACATAGGATAAAAATTAGACGATGATACGAACGATATCTATAAAAAATCACTGATATTACCCAAGTTTGTATTGTTCTTTCCTTACTTTATCAAACACCAGTTGTTCCCCGTTTAGTGCAACCTCTTTGTTGTTGTCATCATAATAGAATTCCACGTTGAAAGGAGTTCCTGCAGTTACTACTACTTTGTACGAATATGATGCGTTTTTTGGTGCTATAGTGACTTCTTTCTCTGATGTTTTTGCTGATATCCTAAAAATATAAACAGAACAAATGATACTCTGTGCCGACCACTTATAATAAAAACCACTTACTCTAAAGTTTGTGGCTCTTCCGCCAAAACATCAGCCAGTTGATACCGTTTACTATTCTTTTCGGCAATTTTTATCCTTGCTGTTTCATGGGCCAGCAAGGATATTTGCAGAACTAGCTCCTGACTATCGGAATTTGTCAGGGGTATCGAGACGATATTGCCAGTTTGACTTAACTTGTCTAATTGGGCTGTAAACTTCGAGGGATTTTCAATGGTTCTCAATTTTCTGAAACAAAAAATGTAAATTGTTGAGTTAGTGGTCCAAAAATAACCAATACCTTTTCACTTTGTCATAATTGCTTTACAACTAGTATTGCCCAAAATCGGTCTTGGTCTTGCAGTCTATGTCTTGTTCTTGCGTTTTTCCAATTTTAGCAAGACCAAGACCAAGACTGATCGTGCAAGATTTAATCAAGAACAAGACTAAGCCTGCGAGACTCTTGCGTCTTGCGGTTAGGACTCAGTGTCGTCTTAGCACGTATAGTAGTAGACTAGATTTAGACATATCGGTAGTCTTTTGGTAGTTTACAGAACAAAAAAAAATTGTACTTACTTGCAAAACGGTATTCTTGCGCAATCTTTGTATAAGGTGTGATTCGCACATGAGACATAGCTGGCTATCAAAGCCAAAAAAAGTAAAAGTCTGAAAAAAAAAATAGAAATAAATGATACAATTTGACAATGGTGAACGTTAGATTGTTATGTTGTTTATATTTTAACGAAACTACAATAAACAATTCTTTATACTGAATATTCTGTTTTTGTTGGGTTCCACTTCTGGATATATATAATATTTGTAATCTTTGTACTGATAGACTAGTATTTCTGTGTCTGATTGACCTAAAAAAAGCGTTTGACAAAGTAAGACTCAAAGATGTAATCCATCTTCTGTATAATAGAAAAGCTCCCCTAAATATTATAAAAACTATCGCAAACATCTACCAAAACAACAAAATGGAAGTCAGAATAGATAGATTCTGTTACGCAGGACGACGCAATATTGATAGCCCAAGATGAAGATTACCGTACTACAAGCTTCATGAGTTATCTCCTAAAATTATTCCTAAAGATAATTCATAAGAGAATCTGCAAGCTGTCTGAAAGTCAAATTTCCCCCAACCAGTTCGGGTTCACAAATGCTGTTGGTACTAGAGAGACTTTATTTTGAGTAGTTATTCCAGAGATGCAGAGACGTCAACTGCGACGTATACGCATGTCTTGTTGTTTACGAGAAAGCGTTTGATCGAGTACAGCACGCTAAGATGATGAAAGTATTAAAAGAAACAGGAATTAACAAGCAAGATCTGAAAATAATTAGAAATCTTTACTGAAATCAGACAGTAAATTTCAGAGTTGAAGGTGAACACACTGACTATGTCAAAATCATGCGTGGAGTGAGGCAAGGCTGTATTTTGTCTCCTCTAATCTTTAACCTGTACTCTGAAAGAATATTTATCGAAGCTTTGCACGAAACTAAAAAAGGTATTCTACTAAATGGTTACCGGCTAAACAACATTAGATATGCAGATGGCATATTTGTGAACAACTTAGAAGACCTACAAGTTCTTATTAACAAAATCACGTATTACAATCAACAATATGGACTCAATATAAACATTAAGAAGACAAAGCTTATGATAATTAGCAAAAAAACGATAACAGAAGGTCAACTCTTCGTCAACCAAGCTCCTGTAGAAAGGGTGACGCACTACAACTACGTCCGCATCATAATAAATGAAGAATGGACCAACAACCAGGAGATTAGAACACGCATCGAAAAAGCTAGATCCACCTTCAATCGGATGGGGCCTTCTTCAAGAGTCTTTCTTGATACAAAAGTAAGAATGCTGCGATGTTCCGTCTTCTTTGTCCTTTTTTATGGTATTGAATCGTGGATCTTGAACGAAGATATGTGCAGAAAACTGCAAGCATTTGAGATGTGGCTATATCGGAGAATACTTAAGATCCCGTGGACTGACCGAGTCACAAATGAGGAGATCCTCAGAAGAATGAATGAGAAACGAGAGGTACGGACCACCATCAAATCTCGAAAGTTACAATTATTATTATTATTATTATGATTATATAACAAATAAGGGCAGAGGAGCGAGCTCCTATTATGCCCAAAAAGCAAAAATAAACAAAAATAAAATATATCCTTATAAAACTAATACTAATTATAAAGTTAAGTACAGTTAAACAAATTAACAAAAATTGAATTGTGACCCAATAAATAAATAAATAATGCTGTCCGAGAAAAAATATCCTATCCTATAAAAAAAATAAAGTGCTGTCAAGTTTATTTTTAAAGATGTTAACACTAGCTGCCAATATGGTGTCATGATCCAAATTGTTCCAGATATTAAAGATTCTGTTTGGCAAGAAGTTCGCCCTGGACCTTGCAGTAGTTTGTTCCCTCTTTAATTTGTATCGATGGCCTCTTAATCTATCGTCTTCATTCAAAGTGAATATGTTGTTTAGGTTCCCAAAATTATGTTTTAAAATACGGAAGGACATAATTAGGTCACCTCGAAGACGTCGCTGCTCGAATGTCGTAAGATGAGCCATGAATAGTCTATCTTCATAGTTAGGGCTTACACGGCCGTATGCCAGTCTTGTGGCTTTACGCTGAACGTTTTTCAAGTAGGATTTTATCGCGACTAAGATCTGGATTCCACACTGGTCCGGCAAACTCAAGAATAGGTCTAACGTATATTGAGTAAAGTTTACTAACAGAGGTTAGAGATATGAGAGATTTACGGATCAAAAACAGTTTCGAGTTAGCACGTTTACACACCGACACTATGTGATCAGACCAATTTAATTCACTATTAATTATCACTCCGAGATCGTTGTGTGAGGTTACAGAGTTTAAAGGATGTCCATTAATAAAGTACGGCAGTGATGGGTTATTTTGGCCGATATGTAAAACAACGCATTTTTCAATGTTAAGCGGAAGTAACCATTCTGAGGACCATTTGAATATTGCGTCAAGATCTTGTTGAAGAATATGTTGGTTAATAGTTGGATTCACATATAACTTCGTGTCATCAGCGTAAATGGAAACCTTACTGGATACAATGAGCGGAAGATCACTAGTGTAGACACAAAAAATTTTCGGGTATATTATGCGAAATGAATCTAGATACACTCTTCTTCATATTATACAAATATAATTCTTATTTTTTAATTCTGTAATATTCTAACATTAGATTTAGGAATGAATTTCCCGAATCAGCCTTGACATTAAATAATAATACCAACCAATGTAGAAAATTTAAATGTCAGATCGTTGTCAAGCCGCTACGAATTTTTTGTAAGACAAAATTCAAATAATAAGGGATGATTTGCTTAGTTCGCATATTTTTCCATGATATATTAAATTATTTTCCATGATATACGATACTGGTCAAATTCCATCGGACTGGTTGAAATCTACATTTGTGCCCCTTCCCAAGAAATATAATTCTAAGACGTGTAGTGAATATCGCCTTATAAGTTTAATGAGCCACACCCTTAAAGTATTTTTGCGTATTATCCATTCCAGAATACGAGCAAAATTAGAACACAGCATAAGTAAAACACAGTTCGGTTTTAGATGCGGTTTTGGAACTCGAGAACCCCTCTTTGCAATACAAGTTTTGATTCAAAAATGCCTGGATCAACAGAAAGATGTTTACGTCTGTTTTATCGACTATGAGAAAGCATTCGATACTATCAAACATGACAAACTCATAGAACTATTACGTCTTTCAGGACTTGACACTAAGGACATCCAGATTATAAAAAATCTATATTGGAATCAAACAGCCCACATGAAGAATGGACATATGGTGAGTGAAAACATAACCATTTCTAGAGGGGTAAGACAGGGCTGTATTCTTTCGCCACTGCTTTTCAACCTATACACGGAACAAATATTTCTAGAGGCACTAGAAGAGTACAATGAGGGCATCAAGATTAATGGCGTACCAATAAGTAATTTTCGATATGCAGATGATACTATTATACTGGCCGTTAACATCGAATATTTACAGATGATGCTACATAGAGTTAATACAACTGGCAGCCGATTTGGACTGAAGATCAATAGAAAGAAAACTAAATTTATGGTGATCAGTAAAAAAAAATTTCAACATATCGACCTGCATATTGAAGACGAACGTATTGAAAGAGTACACCGATTTAAATATCTGGGATATACAGTAAATGACAAGTGGGACCCAGAAGTAGAGATTAAGATCCGAATTGAAATAGCAAGATCCAAATTCATCAAAATGAGAAAGCTCTTAAGCAACCGCAACCTACTCTCTACGCTACTTTACGGCGTAGAAGGGTGGACGTTAACCGCAGCAACTATAAAGAAGTTAGCGGCTCTAGAAATGTGGCTGTATCGACGCATACTGAGAATACCTTGGACAGACAGAGTGACCAACACAGAGGTATTAAGACGAATGGGTAAAGAGGTGGAATTGTTAACAACTGTTAAAAGGAGGAAAGCATCATACCTGGGCCATGTGTTCCGTAATGATAAGTACAGTCTGCTACAGCTTATCGTGGAAGGCAAGATTGAAGGTAGAAGAGATTTGGGCAGAAAGAAGAAATCCTGGCTGAGAAACTTGAGAGAATGGTTTCAAATACCAGAAGCTGCGAACATAATTCATGCGGCACAAAACAGAGAAACCTATCGTACGATGGTCGCCAACCTTCGGTAGAAGACGGCACATAAAGAAAGAAGAAGATATTAAATTATGTACCGTTTATTCTGACATTTGTTCCAAATTTATTTTATTTCGACTAAATTTTTAAACCTATAAATCTTTGATATGTGTATTCGTCAAGGCTTGCAATAGTTGATTCAGTGCTTTAACATATACGAATTCTATGTATAAAAATAGTTGTACTCGTTTATTTGTACTACTAATTTGGCATCATCCTAAATAGTCCATTGAAATGTTACATTTTTTATGCCTAGGAGGACACAATTTCATTTTTTTTATGTTGGGAAGGTAAGTATAATCTTAAGTTCAAGTTTGTGGCGTTACCACCTTTGTCCCCCTGCTGCTTTCGTGAAAAAAGGGGTGCACAGGTTTATTGCCCTGTATCTCGTAAACTAGCAATACTACACTAGCAAGCCATCCTGCAAGGACAAATATTTGAAAAACGGGTCCAGGAAGAAGAAGAACATCTTGGTTAAAAAAACCTCAGAATCTGGTTTAATACAACACCTGTGCAGCTTTTCCACGCTACTATAGATAAGATAAAAATTGCCATAATGATCGCCAACATTCGTAACGGATAGGCACATCAAGCAGAGAAGAAGATGAAGATAGTCTGCAAAGACTGGTCCACAGATAGAACATAAGAGCAAAAGAATTTCATATGATAATCTCATCTCAGAAAACTAAAACAATAGTAATCAACAAAGAACCAGCCAGATTTAAAATAGAAATTGATGACATCAGTATTGAACATTAACTATTAAAAGACGAAAACTTGAGTACTTGGGACATGTGACGAGAGGGCAAAAATACTCATTATTACAACTTATTATGCAGGGCAAAATCCGAGGAAAGCGAAATGTGGGAAGACGAAGAATATCCTGGCTTAAGAACTTAAGGGAATGGTTTGAATGCAGTAGTG